GCACGGTGTTTTGTGCGCAAGAGAAGCGGAGAGACTGGAAAGTCCCTGGTTGATAGGAAATTTATTTGTAATTTTGGTCAGTCTGTTTGGTGTTTATCAGTTACATGGAAATAATCCTTTGATTGAGCTAGTTTCTGGAGGAATGTTTGAATTACAATATGATTTTGACTACTTGATAAAATGTTTCTACCCTGTCTTTATTGGATTTTGTGGAAGATACTGACAGAATTTTTCTCTTGGTATGGAGCGAGCAAATATAAATGATATAAAGTGCCTATTTTCTTTTGTCTTGATCTTTTCTTCGAGGCTTCTTAGTTCTATTCAGACTTTCCTGGATGTTGACTCTCAGGTTTAGTTACTTTGGTATTTATTGTGTTTCTAATTCTTAATCTCTGAGTATTTGATATTCTCTTTTATTCTCTCCATGAACCAAGATGTTCTTGGTTTGACATTTTTCCAGATAGTTCTTAGATTCTTTCCCAGAATTTATTGATATAAAAAAGAGAAATTACTAAGAAGGAAAGAGAATTCAAGAAATAAGGATAAGGTGTTCTTTCACAGAAAGAAATGAAATCTAGAAGAAAATTACTGAGGATGCTAAAAACATAAACTGAAATATTTCTTCAGTTTATTCTTTTAGCAAAGGAAATGTGGCAAATTTAATATAAGACAAGCTCCAAATTCCTTTGCATGACAGACAAAGGCAACACTTAACAAAGATCATGTGCCTTTGGTCACAAAGAGGTCCTATAAACTACCGTCCCAAATAGCATGTGTATGGTTAACATGTGGTTAGAGGTTTGTGGCATTTCATGCCAGCCACTTGGACTTAGCACCGAAGCATAGATTGCCTCTCTGCAAAGCACTTCATGACCCTTAGTCTTTACACAACTTCTCATATAGGTGAGAAAAAAATACATTTTTTTCTCAGAATTGTGAAAATCTAACATTGGAACTGAAACTTGTTCTTGAGGAATATGGCCAAAAAGGCTGAGAAAGGTGTTCTTGAGAGAATATAATCTCCGGACAAGAAAGTATTCTCTCTAACAAGGCTAAGCATTAGCTTTAGACCCGCTTAGCTCCTAAATCAAATTATTTTGTGCATGGACGTATTTCTCGCCCTTCTTCACTTCTTTTCTGGGTCCATATCCATGTTTTTTTTTTTTTTTGTATATTACCATCCATCTGAAGTATTCTTATTTGAGTCATCTAATTGTACAAATTTATTCTGTCCCAACTTCCTGATATGAAAGTTGTGTTTGGTTTAATTTCGAATCAATTTCTAGTCAATTCTTAGTTTAATGTATCTTACTATTCTTCTTTTTTTTTGAAATAAAAAGTGTGAATATATATTAAAAGGGTACCAATGGGGAGTACCACCTATTAACAAATTTACAATTGTTAGGTGTCAATAACATCCCCAAATCCTCATC